TGATGATGGTAGCATCTTGATTGATTGTTATGAAAATTCATTACTGGTTTGTGTTGATCTTTAATTATGAATGTATTAAAGATATGATTTGGTGATTAATTCTATGTACTCGAAGTCATTTACGATTACGAGTTTCTAGATGCACATTTGACCTTTCTCTGCCACAAGCAGGGGAGCTTAATGTTGTCATAGTTGCTTGAACCTTCAGGGATGTTGAACTACACGTGAAAATATTTGAGGGCTTTGCCCATTTAAAAAGCGCATTCTTGTCTCTTCGGAAAAAAGGCCCATGTATCGTCTTCATGATTTTTTAAATTATTTTAGCGTCCACAACTATAAAATATATGCATATGTTTTTCCAATGTTGAAATTATTGAGAGAGCAGCCAACAACATATATAGCTGGAAACTTATTCATATATAGAACAATTGTACAATGTTTTTGCTGCTTGTATTATTAGCTTCTACCTTAACAAAGTTACAAAACTGATTTATTATTTATCATCTGAAAAATGGAAGGGCCTGCAATTAACTAGTAACAAATAAGGACCACTTGTCAAACTTAGGAAGCTCTTAACGTTTTGGTGCAGAGTTCAAATCTTTTACACTCATTTTGTATGCGGTGCTCTATAATCTCCATCATTGATTGACGTGTTAAATTTATAACAATACAACTAAAAATATTAAATTTATGAACACGTATTAATCGAATATAAAAGCCGCATAAAAGCTACACACAAGATGATGTAGATGATTTGTATTAACAATGTATGGGGTATTTGAGTCTTTTCTTATGTATCTATACACATCAGCTAAATGAAGGATATTAGATTACTTAGTCATTAAGTTTGGACAGCTGCTATATAAGGCTGGATAAGGGTGTAATTGTTTAGTTTTTGTTCAGTTAATACAACAACTTCTTTTGCAAGTCACTTTTCTGTCTCGTTCTCTTCTTCTCTTTTCTTCTGCGATTTCCATAGTTTCTTGCATTTAAGCTTTTCTGAATGTTTCAATGGCTGAACATGCCATTGTTATGATGGTATCAAAAGCTTAGGTTTGGTGAATATGTGAAGAGGATCCTGACGGGCTCATCAAGCTTTGGAGTTTTTTTTTTCTCGCCGAATCTGCGAGGCGGTGGTTTCTGCTTTTGTCGACGGAGTTTTGGTTTCGGTTCGTCGGTGCTGACTCAGGTTATATCCACTTGATTTTAGTGTTTTCTGGTCCATATTTTCTGGCCTTTGTGTTTAATTTCATGGTATGGCTATGGATCTACGATTTGTTGATGTGATACATGTTAGGGCATGAAGCCTATTGTGGTTTGCTTACTTGATGTGTTTTTGAGCACGAAGCTCCTTACAGTTTGGGCACGAAGCCTTGATTTCTTCTAAATTGCTGATTGTTTGGGCACGAAGCCTTGATTCTTTCTGAAATTCTTTTTGCCATTGCTGATTGTTTGGGCACGAAGCCTTGATTCTTTCTGACTTGCTGATTGTTTGGGCACGAAGCCTTGCTTCTTTCTGAATTGCTGATCGGCACGAAGCCTATTGTGATTTGCTCCTGTTTGTTTCCTTTCTTGGTTCTTGTTGACGTCTCGATATGAATACACTCAAAGTGGAAAGTCTTCTTGGTATGTTCACCATTCGGCTGCAAGATGATAATTTTGTCAAGTGGTCTTTTCAATTTCGATCGGTGCTTGAGGGATATGATTTGTTTGATCACTTTGATGGCACATCGGTTTGTCCACCGAAGTTTGTGTTCACTGAAGCTAATGGTATCACTACTGAGATTACAGCAGCTTACAAGGAATGGATTAAACAAGACCGCGCTCTTGTTAGTCTTCTTCTTGCTACATTAGGTGATGAGGCTGTGGAATATGTTGTCGGTTGTAAAACTGCACATGAAGCTTGGATGAATTTGCAGGACAGATATGCTACTGTTTCCAGAGCACGGGTGAATCATCTCAAAACTGAATTGTTGACTATCAAGAAAGGGTCTGATAGTGTTGAAAAATATATGTTGAGGCTTAAGGCTCTTAAAGATCAGCTACTGGCGGCAGGTGAAGTAGTGTCTGAGAATGACCTTATTGTTGCTGCTCTTGCGGGTTTACCGGCTGAGTTTAATATGATTCGTACTGTGATTGTAGCTCGTGAAACTCCTATTTCTTTAAAAGAATTCCGAGCACAATTGTTGGCTGCTGAGAGAACAGCTGATGATTCGCAGTTTACTTTGCATTTTCCTATGTCAGCCATGTATTGTCAAGGAGAATCTTCTAATGCTCATTCCTCACAAGATCAAGGAGCTTCTCAGTACTTCTCTGGTGGCTATGGTTTTGTCACTGAAGCTACTAATTCTTCTCAAAGTACTGCTCACAGACCCACTGGTGGCATAGTTTCTCAGGCTTCTCTGCCTCATTTTCATCAACAAGGAAATGGGAATTTTCAGAATCATAGAGGATATCAGCATAATGGCGGAAACAATGGAAGATTTAACAATAGGTCCAGATACAATGGGAATAATAATGGCAGATTCTCAGGCAATTCCAATGGTTTTCCTGGAGGATCAAACAGTAATGGTTTTTCTGGAGGATCAAACAGCAATGGTTTTCCTGGAGGATCAAACAGTAATGGTTTTTCTGGTAGTTCTAAAGGAGGTTCAAATTGGCAGAATTGGAATGGAAATAGTGGTTTTAAGCCAACATTGATTCCTGAATGTCAAATATGTCATAAAAGAGGCCACACCGCTACTAATTGCTATTCAAGGTATGATGCCAGCTCAAAGCTCTGCTCCTCCAATTCTGGAGTGTCAAATCTGTGGGAAGAAAGGTCATTCTGCTCTCAATTGTTATCATCGAGGAAATTATGCATATCAAGGTGCTCAACCTCCTTCTTCTTTCAATGCTTTCACTGCACAAGCTCATCCAAACCTTCCTTCTTCTTCTCAACAAAATTGGGTGCTCGACACAGGGGCTACACACCATATGACAGCTGATCTGGATCATTTGACACTTATTACTCCTTTTAAAGGCACTGACAGGATCACAGTGGGCAATGGAGAAGGTTTACCTGTAGCCAATACTGGTTCGGGTTCTCTTTTAACTTCTTCCAAACCTTTAACCCTTCAAATGGTTTTTACATGTTCCTCAATTAGCAGCTAGTTTATTATCTGTGTATAGACTATGCAAAAGATAATCACTGCTATGTTATACTTGATGAATTTGGTTTCTGGGTGCAGGACAAGGCAACAAAGAAAGTTCTACTGAGAGGAAGGAGTAGTAGTAGTGGCTTGTATTACATTCCTCAGCAGCAGTTTTTCAACTATTCTCAGCTAGTAAATAATACACCTCAAGCTCTTTTGGGACAACTTGTGAAGACTTCAATTTGGCATCAACGACTTGGGCATCCTACTAATGAAGTTCAGTTGAAAATGTTGAAGGAGTCTCAGATATCTGTCTCTTTAGATAACAGTCCACAGTTATGTTCAGCTTGTATTAGGGGTAAGATGACTAGACAACCATTTCATTCTCACTGTAATAAGTCTAGTGTTCCTTTTGAGAAAGTGCATACTGATGTATGGGGACCTTCACCCACTGTATCTCTTGAAGGTTACAGATATTATGTAATCTTTGTAGATGAATGCACAAGGTTCACTTGGATCTTTCCTCTTGTTAATAAATCTGATGTCTATTCTGTGTTTGTTAAGTTTCATGCATTTGTTATAAATCATTTCAAATGCAATATTAAAACACTGCAATCTGATGGCGGATGAGAGTATATGAGTAGGTTGTTTAAACAATTTCTGGATACAAATGGGATATTACATCTTGTCTCTTGTCCTTATACCCCTCAACAGAATGGGTTGGCAGAACGGAAACACAGGCATATTATTGAGACTACTGTGACATTATTGAGTGCTGCAGGGTTACCTCAACAGTTTTGGTTTCATGCTTGTAGTCATGCAGTGTTTTTGATTAATAGAATGCCTTGCCAAAACTTAGAAATGGTGTCTCCCTATGTTAAATTGTTTGCCCAATCACCATCTCTGAGTTCCTTAAAGATTTTTGGTACTGCAGTCTATCCCTACTTAAGACCTTATAATGTCAATAAGTTACAAGCTCGAAGTGATGAATGTGTGTTTTTGGGCTACTCTATTGGATATAAGGGAGTGTTGTGCTATAATCGGAATACACAAAGGTTATTGTTATCAAGGCATGTCATCCATGATGAGAATGTGTTTCCTTTTAAGAAGTCTCATTCTTCTGTCCATATTTCTTCACCGGTTGTTTCCTCACAGCAAGAGTTACCAAGAATGAGATATATTGTGGTTCCTAATTCCTCTACCCCAACAAGAGAAGAAATTGGTGGGAATGATCAATCTGTGGATATGCATTCTATGGCATCTCAATCTTCCAGTCTCTCTTCAAGTCCAGTTCTGCATTCTTTATCAGATATACAAGCTACTACACTACATTCCTCTCCTTCTTCCTCTCAAGTGTTGCCTGTCCTTGATCTTGACCAAAATCAGGTATCTTCATCTCCTGTTATACATACTTCTTCTGAGCATAATATGGTTACACGTTTAAAAAGTGGAGTCCTGCAGCGAAAAGACTACTCTGCTTATTATGCTTCTGCCTCAAATACTTCTGTTGATAATGATGTGATGTTTTGTGGATTCACTGCGATTCTTGACATTCATGATTCACTAGAACCTTCTCATTATAAACAAGCTGTTCTTTCTGAGGATTGGAGGAATGCTATGAAGGAAGAATTTGTGTCTTTACAAAAACAAGGTACTTGGGAGCTCGTACCACCTCCGGTTGACAGAAATGTCATAGGGAGCAAATGGGTGTACAAGATCAAGAAGGATCAAGATGGCAAAGTGTCTAGATATAAGGCACGTTTAGTTGCTCAGGGTTATAGTTAGGAACAAGGATTGGACTATGATGAGACTTTTAGTCCGGTAGTAAGACATACAACAGTGAGGCTGGTTTTGTCTCTTGCTGCTATGCAAGGATGGGAATTGCGGCAGTTGGATGTAAAGAACGCTTTTCTTCATGGTGAATTACAAGAAGAAGTTTTTATGAAACAACCTCAGGGTTTTCAAAATCCTCAGCATCCTAATCATGTGTGCAAGCTTCTCAAGTCCTTATATGGTCTTAAACAGGCTCCAAGGGCATGTAATGCCAAGTTTACAAGTTATTTACCTTCTTTAGACTTTCAGTCATCTCATTCAGATCCTAGTTTGTTTGTGAAAGTGTGTGGGAATGATGTAGTGATCTTGTTGTTATATGTGGATGATATCATCATCACAGGTTCTTCATCTTTCCTTATTCAACAAGTGATTGCTGAATTGAGTAGTGCTTTTGATATGAAGGACATGGGCAAGCTTACTTATTTTTTGGGACTTCAAATCACGTACAAAGATAATGGTGATATATTCATTAATCAATCCAAGTATGTGACTGATCTACTCCATAAGGCCGGCATGATAAATTGCAGACCTTGTTCCACTCCAAGTAAACCTCATACTCAATTGCTCAAAGATGAAGGAGAACCATTAGCTGATCCTACAGTTTACAGAAGTTTAGTTGGTGCATTGCAATATCTCACCTTTACACGGCCTGATATTGCATATGCGGTCAACTATGCTTGCCAATTCATGACAACTCCAACTGAAGCTCATGTCTGTCTCGTTAAAAGAATCCTCCGGTATTTGAAGGGTACATGGCAATGTGGATTAACTTACTCTGCTCAAGCCAATATGGATTTATTGGCTTATAGTGATGCTGATTGGGCAGCAGATATAAATACAAGGAGGTCGACTACTGGTTACATTGTTTTTCTGGGCTCAAATCCTGTGTCCTGGCAGTCTAAGAAACAAGGCAGTGTTTCTCGAAGCTCAACGGAGGCTGAATATAAAGCCTTAGCTAATGCAGCAGCGGATGTGGCTTGGATCCGATTAGTTCTTAAGGATCTCCATATGTTTCTTCCTTCAGTACCATTGGTCCATTGTGATAATCTGTCTACATTGGCATTGTGTTCTAATCCAGTTTTTCATACTAGGATTAAACACTTAGATACTGATTTTCATTTTGTTCGTGAACGGGTGCAAAAAGGTGATCTGCAGGTACAGTATATTCCCACTGAGGCTCAGATTGCAGATGTCTTAACTAAAGGATTACATAGTCCTCTGTTTGTTCATCATTGTTCCAATCTCCGACTGGGATATCCCAGCTGAGATTGAGGGGGAGTATTACAATGTATGGGGTATTTGAGTCTTTTCTTATGTATCTATACACATCAGCTAAATGAAGGATATTAGATTACTTAGTCATTAAGTTTGGACAGCTGCTATATAAGGCTGGATAAGGGTGTAATTGTTTAGTTTTTGTTCAGTTAATACAACAACTTCTTTTGCAAGTCACTTTTCTGTCTCGTTCTCTCTTCTTCTCTTTTCTTCTGCGATTTCCATAGTTTCTTGCATTTAAGCTTTTCTGAATGTTTCAATGGCTGAACATGCCATTGTTATGAATTTGAATCTTGCTTGCACGAAGGGATTGAAAAATCAAGTCAGAAGTCCAACAGAGTTTGAAGCATTACAATAACATTCAATCACACTCATCACACATATGATATTAGTAATTTAGTACCAATAAATAAATATTAATTATACCAAAAAAAAAAGAAAAAAAAAGAAAGAAAGATAATATGCAGAACAGAAGGGTTTTTGGCAAACGTCCATAGTGGAAGGCTGAGTCAGAGATTCCAGTAATGTTGTTCCTGTTACCCACCCACCCAAAGTCTAAATATATGAGGAGAAGAACGCGCTTAAGCTTAAAGCGTGACAGCTTGGATTTAATTTCCATATAGTCTACAATATTATATCAACAACTTATACGTTGCTATTCGGTCAAAACAACCGGTCCAACCTCTTCATGCATTTCATTCCCAATCCCTCCTCAGTCCTTATCTCCAATCCAGTCCCCTTCCTCGTCTAGTCATTCTTCATGCATTTCAATTTCATTCCCAATCCCCTCACCTCTTATCTTCAATCTGCTCGCGCTTCCTCCTTCTTGTCATTCTGAAAATGGTGTTGTGAGCAGTAGCAGATTTAGGATTTGAACATTGGAGGGCTCGGTGTTAAAGGTCTAAATTTTTAAATAGAAACAAAGCGCGAAGCGCACAAATAAAATTTAGTTTGTTCACTGAGACATTTCATTGAACACCTGGTGGACTTGTTGTCGTAAGATGAACCATGATGCGCACATGTCATCAAATATCGACGTATGCAAAAAAGCAATTTGATGAGTGCGGAGAAACTTTGTCGAGCGCTGAGAGAACTTGTCGAGTGCTCTCAAAGCAAGCTATCGAGTGCTGCCGAGATATGCATAGAAGTCATTACATCAAACACTTGGTGAACACAAAAAAGACTTGTACCAAACATTCGAAGAATCCTCAAAAGACCTTCAAATGTATATATTTCGTACTTCGGTCGGTCCTGAGACCACCTTGGTCCCAATGTATATCCGCCACTGGCTGCGAGTGTTGGCATGAGTTGATATTTTTGTATTTATTGGCTCGAGCCATATGTTCTATAATGTCACGTGATTTACAGAGATAACAAATAGAAAAGAACATTTTGGTGTTGAATAACTAGTTAGATTTCAGATATTCCAAACAAAACAAAAAAATTGAGTTTAACTTCAAAATCTTATCCAAATTAAAGATAGAAGATGAATTTCAATTAGTTATGAATGAGACTTACACAATCAAATAACAACATGAGCAATTGCCTCAATCGTTCTTCCTTGTTCTCTAAGAAACATGTTTGTCTTGTAAGTTTCCTTTAGATATATATATTTGAGTATTCATGTCAAAATATATGGCAACAAAGCATGAATAAAATGAGTTCCATTTCGGACAAACGTATACAAATATGTATTATCATCCATTTTATATTCCAGCCGCACATGTTTCACTTGATCAACAAGGATCATACAAGCTCTCAGACTCAGAGGTTTATTCAAATCTTTGACATCCCAGGTCGTGCGGGGATAGCCGGCGACATCACATCATCCTTAAAAGATGGAACAAGTTCCTCATTAGTTCTTATCCGCTTGAAAATATTACCAGGGGACTTGAGATCCACAGTTGCGCCACCTTCTGGACGTCGAAGCGTAGGAAAAAAGAAAGGACAAGGATCCGCCCGGCCGCCAGAGTGGAGATTACTGAACGGCGCAAGAACGAGAAACAGGGGCAGGGTTTTAGGGATAGCGTGTGTCGCGCGTTAGATAAAATAACAAGAATTTCAGATGATGGTGTTTGATGATAAATTTAGTCATGCGTGTCAATGCCTTTCTAGTAGTGCCATTCTTTATTTACGAAAATATTGTTACAATGAGCAGCTTACTTACTGATAATAAGCTATGATGAATCTCAATTTAGTATCAAACTTATTAGGTTTCGGATATGTGATTAAAGAAGTTGAAATTTCATCATAAAATTTATCGACAATATAGAAGTAGTGAAACTCTTTATAAACACTTGCAAGTCCTTTCTAATGTGAGATTCACACTCTCAACACGCCCTTTCATGCGTGGTGTCATTTAAGTTTAGTACATAAACGACACGTATTAGGTAACGTGGGATCATATGGACCCGTTGATCATGAAATCAAGTGAAATATAAGGAGTAGCCTAATTCTTTATAAGCACACACATGCTAGGTGCTTTTAATTTCTCAATGTGAAACTTACACTATCATCATGTGATAATCGCACGTAAGATATTTTCAAGCAGCCATATGTGTATTGCTAGATAAACTAATCATGTGCAAATCAAGTTTCGAATCTTTCTCCTCCTCCTCCAATATAGGGGGTACAAAAATTGACACATTACCTTCACTTTTTGAATGTCATATTCTCCCCTAACCAAAAACACACTAAAAAAAGAGAGTGGGAGATTGTATGTACGTGCATAAGTGCGAACTAGATTAAGAAAACCATGAAACCCAACCACAAGTGAAGGACAACTCCACTTTGGACTTGAAGGGGATTTAGTTGAGCAAAATCCTAAACGATGTGTTGGTGCGGGTGAAATCGAAGAGGGAGTCGGTCCACCATCTCCGCATTTGACCTGAATTTCATCCCAATTTCAATTTCGAATTTCATGTAAACCAGAAGGCCCTTCCTCAATTCTAATAGGATAGTCATAAAGAAGTGGCCCTCGCTTTGAAGCTTTGACTTTGACCAAATTCCACACACTCACGAAGCAAAGCAGAAGAAAAGTCACGCTTTCCTCCCTCCTTCCTGTGAGACCCTCAGCCAACAGCAATATAAATCCCCATAGCCTTCCGTTTCCTCAGAGCTCCCTCCAAGCTACTCTCACTTGAGGTTCCTCAGCAATTTTTCTCTCTCTACAACAAGAACACAAATTATCCTCCTCTTACTATCTCTCACTCTCTGTCTCTGAAGATTTGTTGAGTGCTTTAAACTTTAAGGGTGAGGAAAACCTTTCTGGGTTTGATTGTTTGAGGTTTTTAGGACTTAAAGTTTGAATCTTTCTGTATTTGGATTGAGTTTTTTGGAACAATTTTTTTGTGATTTCAATTGGGTTTTGTGAAATACTTTTGGGTTTTGAGTGGTTTGGGTTGAAGTTTTATATTTGGATCTGGGGTTGTCTGTCTGCACTGATATCTGGGTTCTTTTAGCTTACAATTCAATATTTAAGGAGAAAATTATTGGGATTTGTGAAGTTTTATGAATATTTCTGGAACTCAGTAGGAAAAACCAACCATATAGTTTTTAAAATTTAGCTTTTGGGTTTGTTTCTGAGGACGTGGGTTGAATTTTTCTGTTTCTCATGTTGTGGAAAATCTTAGATTCAACAACTAACCAGCTGTGGAAGTGCTTTTAAAAAAAAAATAAAAATTATTGGATGATATGAACAACTTTACATATAAGCAGCTTATTTAAAGCCGCTATCAGTTATTGATTTTGAGTGGTATATTGAACTTTTGCTGTTACAATGATGCAGGACTTTGGAGATGTGCAAGGTTTCCAAAGATAAACTCAGCCCCTCAAATTTTATCATGGAAAGCGAATTCCAGAAGCAGAAATCGGTTTTGGTCGAATTGTCCGCCTCGGACAATCTCGATGCTTTCAGGACTGAAGTAGAAGAGAAGGGTTTCCATGTTGACGAGGCTGGCTTTTGGTATGGAAGAAGAATCGGGTCAAAGCAGATGGGGTTCGAAGATAGGACGCCGCTTATGATTGCTGCCATGTTTGGTAGCACTAAGGTTTTGAAGTATATAATTGAGTCTGGGATGGTTGATGTCAACAGGTCCTGCGGTTCAGATAGGGTCACTGCCCTTCACTGTGCCGCTGCTGGCGGTTCCACTGCTTCACTTGAGGTTGTCAAGCTCTTGCTTGATGCTTCCGCTGATGCTAATTGCGTCAATGCCTACGGAAACAGGCCCGTTGACTTGATTGCCCCGGCTTTGAAGTCGCCCTGCAGCTCAAGAAGGAAGGCCATGGAGATGCTGTTGAGAGGTGATAAGTCGGTTATGGAAAGCGATCAGATTGCTATCGAAGAGGGAGACCAACGGAAGGTATCGAGCCCCCAGATGCCGAAAGAGGGAAGTGATAAGAAAGAATATCCTATTGATATTTCATTGCCTGATATCAACAATGGGATATATGGTACAGATGAGTTCAGAATGTTCACTTTCAAGGTGAAGCCGTGCTCGAGGGCCTACTCTCATGACTGGACAGAGTGCCCTTTTGTTCATCCAGGCGAAAACGCAAGGAGGAGAGACCCAAAAAAGTACCCATACAGCTGTGTTCCCTGCCCCGAGTTCCGCAAAGGATCGTGCCAGAAGGGAGATGCTTGCGAGTATGCTCATGGTGTCTTTGAGTCCTGGCTTCATCCTGCTCAGTATCGAACCCGCCTTTGCAAAGATGAAACCGGTTGCACGAGGAAAGTGTGTTTCTTTGCTCACAGACCCGAAGAACTACGCCCGGTGTATGCTTCTACGGGTTCAGCCATGCCTTCACCAAGGTCAATGTCAGTCAGTGCTGCAGACATGGCAACCCTGAGCCCGTTAGCTCTAGGTTCATCAGCTATGTCTATGCCAATTACATCAACACCGCCCATGTCTCCACTGGCAGCCGCTTCTTCTCCTAAAAATGGAGGTTTGTGGCAGAACAAAGTTAGCCTCACCCCGCCTACCTTGCAGCTT